GGAGGCAGAGGCTGGGAGAGGCGAGGCGAGGCGAGGCGAGGCGGGGAGGACGGGAGGGGAAGAGCAAGCCTGCACGGGGAAGGCGGGGCTGGGCTGGGAGACCTCGGCCAGGCCACGAGGATTCATCCCACCGCGGCCTGCGCCTTGGACACTACTCCAGGACGTGCCCTGGGGAGGCTGAGGCAGGAGGATCGCGGGCCGGGGAGTCTGAGGCCAGCCTGGACAACAGAGAGAGACCCCGTCTCTGGAAGGATGTAACCAGAGGCAAGATGCTCATGACCACAGCGAGCGCCGCAGTGGCCCCTGCGCCTGTAACGCAGGACAGCCATGCCAGCCTGGGCGCCCGTCAGTGCCCGCTGGGGGTCGGCTCCAGGGTGGCCCTCTACGGCGAGGTGGGGGGATGGGCAGCCGGTGTAGACGCACCCCAAGTCCTGAGAGCTAACTCAGGGTGCCCCCTGACCCCTGCAGTGGGGTCTGCTCGCCTCTCTACTTCCCGAGAAGAGACCGGGTGCCCGGAGGGGACCAGGTGGGACAGCACTGTGGACCTCGCCTATCACAAGCCTCCCAGCCCTTCCTGAGGGCACAGCTGGCCCATCGCCCTGCAGGGCACGGAAGCCCAGGGTGGCTGCGGTCAGGGCTGCGGCCTGCAGCAAATCTTTCGAGCCATGCCCCCGCCCCCCCCGCTTTAGTCGGGCCAGGACCTGCATCTCCCCAATCTCTGCCTGCTGAGTGGTAAGGGGTACAATGCGCAACCCTGCCTGGCCCCAGACCTGATTCTTGAGGATGGGTCGAAAGCTGAATTTCCTGCCCAGGTCTTCCAAAAGCAAAACAAGATGATTAATCCTAGTATTTCTGTATTCCCAGGCGAAATGCAGACCGGAGTGGGGGCCGCCAATGTGGTACCCGAGCTCCTCTCCCCCCTCAAGAGCCACGGAATCCCCCTCCTTCCGAGTGTGGCTGTGATACACCTGCTGGTTTCCCGACCACACCCCGCTGCTGGCCACGCTCTGGAGGGGAGCCCACTCTCCTCTCTGGCCAGGTCCCAGGCCCTCGTCCAATCACGGCTGGGCCCTGGCCCCTGCCCCTCCCAGGCTGCCCTGCCCCCCCCCCCCACCTCCCGTCAGTCTAATTCCATGATCAATGAGGAGGAGCCGGGCGATGGCCTGGCACAGCTGGCTTCCCCGTTAGCCCTGGTGGGGCTTCCCGGCCTCGCCGTGTCGGCTGAGTGAAATGTTTGCGCAAGGCAGGGAACACAAGTCAATAACAATTTCTCTGGATTGGGAGTAAGTACCTTCTCGCACGCGCGCACGCGGACAGCTGCTCCCAGGGGAGGCCCCGCACGCGGGGAGGACCGAGACCAAGGGCTCAGAAATACTGGCCTCGTGCCGCTGGGGGAGCCTCAGCCGGCCGCCTCTGCCCCGGCTCTCCCACGGACCCCCACCCCCGGCCAGGCCTTTGCAGCCCAGCTCCAAATAATCCCACGTCCCGATTCTCCTTCTGCTCTGCAGGGGCTGGGGCGGGGGGGGGGAGGGGAGAGAGACACTGGGGTCTATTTGGCCCATCCTCGTCCACTGGGAGGCCTCCTGATCTGGTAGCAGCTAGTATTACAGGGCTGGGCCACTGCCTGCTGCCCAATGTGTCTTCACATGGTTAAAATCTGAGGCGCGGTCTCCCGTGAGCTCACGTGGCCTCATGCCTCTGACTCCTGCCTTGGCTTCCCCAGAGTCGGGATTGTAAGTGTGCACTACAACACTTGTACTCCCCCCCGCCCTTTTCTCAGTCAGCGGGGCTTCTGGGCATGCCCTGACCAGCCTTGTGGAGCCCAGATCCTCCCCCACCCCCCCAGATGGAAGATGAACCAAGTCAGCACCACGCAAGGCCTGGCACATTTTAGATGCTGGGCACACTCTGGCCACCCTGCTGACAGCGCCGCTCAGGCTCTTAGTGGTCCTCCCTCACCCCCACCGTCACCGAGCCCCTCTGTGACCAAGGCTCAGGGCCAGGCTGGCCAGGGCCTGGGGTCAAGCAGGTGGGCAGAGAGTTGTAATGGTGCCCGTGAGCCTGTACTGGCAGGTGGGGGGGGTGAAAGATGCAGGAAAGTCACCCCGGGAGATGCTGCACCTGACCCTCGGGCTGAGGCCCGGGCAGGGACGGCCGTCGGCCCCCTTCCCCGCAGGCTGGTGGCACTGCTTGGGCGGTGGGAGCGTTTTCTGCGGGCCTTTCCCTCCGTCTCCACCCCCGCCGGCCCGGCCCCGCGCTGCCAGCCACTTGCCATGCCGGTCATGCCTGCACTCCCGGCTCTGGAGGTGAAAGGTAACGGCGCTAACCACAGCCCGTCAGGCCTGCCCAGCTGGAATAAGACAACGCAAGGGAGCAGAGCCATGCTCCCGGCCAAATAAAAGCCTGTTTGCCCGGCCTCCCTGGCGGCGAGCGCTTAAAACCAAGGGCTTGGCGGCCGATTTCCTCCGTGCCATTATGTTCTCTCGGCTGCTTGCGGGGACCCGCGGCCTGCGGGCCCTGAAAGCCTGGCGGTGCTGCGACCCCGCTGGGCTGTAACACGCTCGCTCGGGAAGAAAGGGACGCGGCCAGGGGCGGACTTCCCTCCCCCCTCCCCCTCGCTTCCCTCCTCGCTCTCTCTTTTCACACGGCACAGGCCAGGCGCTGAACAACAGCGCTCCGCGGGCCCCGGGCTGCCCATGAGAAATGTGATTCTTGGCCAGGGAAGGGAGGGGAGGCAGGGGAGGCTGGCCTCCATCCTCCCCTCCCAAAGCACCCTGTGTGACTAGCCAGGTCTGGGCCAGCTCCAGGCAATTTTTAAGACACAGAAAGAAGGAGCCCTGATTAGGCAGGAGGGGGGAGGTGGGGGAGGGGGTTAGGCAGGAGGGGGGAGGTGGGAGAGGGGGGCAGGCAGGAGGGGGGAGGTGGGGGAGGGGGCTAGGCAGGAGGGGGGAGGTGGGGGAGGGGGCTAGGCAGGAGGGGGGAGGTGGGGGAGGGGGCTAGGCAGGAGGGGGGAGGTGGGGGAGGAGGGCAGGCCGCCCTGGGGGCTGAGCTGGGGTGCAACACAAGCTTCCTCAGCCAGCATGGGCGGTGGCTTCTGCTGGCTCAGCACTATGCCCTTCCCTCCTCCCGAGCGAGCGCACCTGCCCTCAGCCAGGCGGGACTGCCAGCGGGAGGGAGGGGGGGACATGGGATGGGGGGGGGCATGAGCCGGGTACCATCATCTCCTGAGCCCAGCGATACCCCAACAGCAATGTGGACCCCCCACCCCCCCATTACGTCTACCATCCGGAAGCCAAAGTGGGGACCGCCCAAAGTCATGGGCACGAGGAGCCAAGCACTGCACACGGGAACGGCTGCGCAGGTCGCCCGGAGGCCCAGCACCGACTCGCCCTTCTGCCCAGCGTGGCTGGCTGCTGGCTGCCTCCCAACAAGTGGCCTGCCCTCTCTGTGCCTCTGCTGTGTGACGAGCTAAGCACGGTACCGCTCTCCGTGGCGCAGGCCTGAAACGTCCACAGGTGGCACATCTGTCACGGTAACTAGTACGATCTGGCTTCACCCCAGCTCCCCGGTGACCCTGGGGGGCGGGGCACGGTGAACCTCAGCGCTCCGCTGGTGAACCAAGGCTTCCTCTGGGACCAAGGACCCATTCTGGGGCAGCAGGGTGCAGCCGTGCCCTGGCCCGGCCACCCCGACCCCTGGGCCCGGGGATCTGCTCTCAGGACCTGGTGGCACCGGGGAGCGCTGCCAGGCCCTGCCTGAGGACCGGCTAAGATGTCGCCTTTCATTCTGTGGTCCTCATCCCAGGAAGCCTTTGTAGTGACCGCGCCGGGTGCAAGCTCCCCCTGTGATCAGAGGACACAGCGCCTTCCCGGAGAGCCTGGGGCTGGCTCGGAGCAGCATTCCCAGCTCACCCCAGCCCAGCTCCACCTGGCCCCGCGGTGGGCGCCTGGGCTGTCGGGAGCCAGCGGCCCGCGGGACCTCTGGTGCCACGCTGCGGCGGCGCCTCGGCCGGCTCTTCGCGCTGGGGTACAGCGAGGCTTCCCGGAGCTCAATGTATTGAAGGCTCCCCACCCCCCGCCCCGCCGTGCGGGCCACAAATGCTGAGCCCACAAGTCCTGGCAGCCCCGGGTGGGGGCTGCACCTCCGCTCCAGGGAAAACCTTTACACAAACATTTGCCGAGCGGTGCATTTGGGCCTGTCAATGGCTGTCGATGGCGCAGGCAGGTCCTGTCCGTGCGTCAGCATTTGGGGAGTTATTGAGTTGTGCGTCTGCGACTGCACAGGGGACCCAAAGACAGGCGGAGTGCAGACAAAGATGGCCTGGCCCAGGCACATCACAGGGGAAGAGAAGGAGCAGAGGAGGGCGGGCGGACGGACGGACGGAACGATCGCCGACACCTGGGCAGGAAGGAAGGCTTCCTGGAGGGGGTGTGAGGCATCTCAGACCAGCTTAGACTAGACCAGGCATCTCTTAGACTCCAGATCTGCACTGGAGAGACAGCCCGTGGGAGGGGGCAGCGTGGGGAGGAAGGTGTGTGTGTGGAGTGTGTGTATGAGGGGGACAGGGACGCACTCTAGCCAGGTGACCGTCCCTAAGCCAAGGCCCCACAGCGGGCAGAATGTGGCAGCTGCTCTGCCTAACGCTGAGGGGAGATGTGGAGGTGGGCGTGGGATGGGATTCGAGGTCCCCCCGTGTGCCATGGCTCAGCCTCTCCCCTCTTCCTACCTGCCTGGCACACACCTAACCGCCCCCCATCTCCCTCCTCAGCCCCGGCTGCACTGGCCGCCCCAGTCCCCCCACCCCCTGCCTGCCAGGCCCAGCGGCGACCCCGGCATAAGAACACGGCCGACATGCAGCCATCTGGGTCACCACGCGATGCCCCGTGGGAGGAAGGGGAGGGGCTGCGCTGGGGGACCCGGTGGACCACGGCCCAAGCCGTGGATGAGCAGTGTGGCAGGAAGGAGCTGGAATAGATGCCCATCTCTGCCTCCGGCCTGGGCACTGTGTGCCCAGCTCAAGGACAGGGGACTGGGCAGTCGGGAGCGCGGCCCACAGGGCACTGCGGGTGGGCGGGGCCCCGGGCACACTCACCGTGGTAGCGCTCGGCCGTCTTCCGCCGGAGGGCCTGCAGGGTCACCTCGGAGTCGGCCCACTCCAGCACCAGCCTCCGGCCGTACAGGTGGGTGCTGTGACACAGGGCGTTGAAGGCTCTCTGTCGGAGGACGAGAAACGCAGCCCGTGAGTGACTCAGAACTGGGGCTCCCCCAGGCCGCCCGCCCGCTGCCTGCCAGGGACTCTGGCCCCGGTGACCCTGGGGGACATGATGTTCTGTCCCTGGGGGGTGACCCCGTTAGCTGGGCGCCCCTCCCACCGATCTGTCGGCGGCGGCTGCAGCCGTGGGAGGAAGCCTGGCTCTTTTTGGTCATCGGAGGACAGGCGTGAGGCCCCGACTGTCACCCTGTCGCCCTCCTGGCTGTTGGTGGCTCGGGCCCTGTACTGCTGTTCAACGCGCTGCCTCCCTGCCGTCTCAAGCTGACTGCAGCCGGGGCTGGCGCTGGCCCACATCCTGCCCTTTCTACAGCAGTGAGATCCGATCCCCTCCCTCCGCAGGAAGGGAGGCAGGCCCTGGCGTGGGGACACAAGAGCCAAGGAACTCGGGGCTGCCGGCCCCTTCCTGGGCCAGGGGGACGGGCTCTCCGAAGGCAGCTGCCCTGCCTGCCACCTTGCTTTGAGCTTGGGCCTCTGGACTGGCCGACAACCCGTTCCTGTGAGGCCCTTCGCAAAGGAGGCTGGGAAGTGACCTTGGGCCAGGCCCGGCTCAGGCACGGAGAAGCACTGCCACCCACCAGCCGTGTCTCAACCCAGGGAGTCTTTTCCTCTCTCCCATGTTTGCAGAGGGCCAGGTGCTGAAACTTTCTTTTCTCTTTTTTTAACTTTAATTTAAAAACCTCCTTCTGACTGCCAACGGAGCCCCTGCGTGGTTTTTTTTTTTTTCCTAGGCGGATATAAAAATGCATCTGGACCCCGAGCCGAAATGGCTCATTCTGAGCTCTAAAACACTCGCTCAGCTGGCAAGGCAGGGAGGTGGCGGGCGGGGGGCCGGGAGAGGAGCTGGTGGGGAGCCCGGCATGGCCGATATTCCAGCCGGGCGCAGGGTCCCCCAGGAGCTGCTTCCTGGGGACGTGCCAGGCAAGACATGGCATCTGGTGGCTGCTCGGATCTCAACTCTGGGAGGGAGGAAGTGAGACTCCAGGAAGGAGGCCCGGGCAAGACACCCACGGATGGAAGCCGCTCCGCCTTTCCTGGGCTTCAAAGAGCCTGTCTGTGCGCATGCGTCTCTGTTCGCTGGAGGATTCCCTAAAGGTTCCTTCTCCCGCTCTGTACCCTGGAGGGGCCTTTCATGATCAGAGGCGCTGTGTGACGTGGGGAGAGCTTGCTGTCTCTGAGCAGCAGTAAGGAATGGAGAGGATTTGGCAAGAGTCTCGAGCTTACCCAGCCTGGCACGTGAGCGCACTGAATGTGGCCTGTTGCCACTACCTGTGCCCGCCTTCCGTGACCGTGCGGGGGCGGGGAGGGGGAGAGGAGCGACGGCAGGGTGGACATAGAAGCCCTTTTGTGTTTCCACTGAGAGCTCGGTATGTGGTTCTCCCAAAATAGCAGCATCGCCCCAGCCCGGCTGGTCCCCACAGGTTAATGAAGGGACCGGGGCTTCCTCCCGCAGCTGGGCGAGGACAGCTAAAATTGGCCTTGGATAATCCGGCGTAATTGGGTTTCATTAGAAGGGCACAAGGAAGCTCCTTGTTTGTGAGGTCCCGGGGCAGGAGGGGGCAGGCCTGGTTTCGGGCCACGCCACCTTGCCACGGGCACAGGCTTGGGGTGCGGGTGGGGAGGGATCGTGGCCTCCTGCATCCTTGCCTGCATTTCCCCGAGGATGTCGCTGAGCTGGTGTGGCCGGGCCTGGCGGCCATCTTTCAGGGCGGAGGAAGGTGCTGGAAGGTTGTTAGCACAGTGCTGGGCTGACAGGCCCACAGCCTCTTAGGGAGAGCAACGGCCTCTCCAGGCGACAAAAAGGCTGCTCTGTGCCTCTGGCAGGACTTCTGTCCCAAGGGGCCGAGCAGAGTGGCCCGCACCTCCCTGGGAGGCGGGGGGGGGGGGGGGAAGGAGGGGGAGCCCTGCCAGCCAGCCTGCCCCAAACCACCTGTACCCAGGGACCCGGGATGAGTGCGTCCTAAGCCGGCCAGGAGGCCCACGTGTGCTGAGCGGCGCCCCAAGAAGCCTTAGGCACAGATCGCTCCCTGAGCCCAGGTGTGCTAGGGGAGGGTCCGCCGCATGCCCTGTCCGCACAGCAGGAGTTCCTGCGCTCTGGGGCCAGACCCTGCCCTCCGTGGTGAAGCCTCGAGGTGGCTTGTCAGCCTCCTCCGGCCCCAGCAGGGCTGGAGGTCTGCCCGCCAGGGTGGCACTGGGGCTGGGGTAACCCAAGCTCCCTGTGTAAGTCGAGGTGACCCCTCGGGTCCCCCCGGGAATGCGCTTCCTGCACAAACACCCATAGGCCTATGTCCAGGCGAGAGTGTCCAAACGGCTCCTGAGGCCCTCAGGGCCCACACAGGAGGCAGACATTTGAACCCTAGTGCCCTTTGCCCTCCAGGGCCCTGGGTGGGCCTCTGTGCAGGGGGGCCGTCGGCAGAGCTGCCCGGCCCTGAGAGGTGCCAGGCAGCATTGCTACTCTGAGCGGCTTGTACTGACTCTAGATCCTTAGCCCCATGAATGTGCTGGCTGGGCCGGAGCCCCTGCCTTGAAATGCAAGTTCAGGATTCAAACCGTTTTCCTTTCCCCGTGGGCCGGGATGAGAAGACCCACACCACACCGGGGCTCAACCAGGGACACGGGTGCCGAGCACAGAGACCACCCCTCCACCTGCTCCCCGCGGTGCCATTTCCTGGTAGAGACTGGAGTAAGAACATTGCCGGGGTGCCACGCGAAACGCCCCCTCCCTTCCCCCCCTGCACTCGGCATTACCGGAACGGGGGTGGGGTGGGCTTGGGCACGGAGCCCACCCCGCATGGTGGGGAGGTGAGAAATGAGAGAGAGAGAGGAGACGCCGACTGGAGACCCCACAATTAAGCCACAGTGGAGAAGCTCTGCCTGCCAACGCCAGCCGCCATGGCGTCTCCCACCGCCGGCTCCCCCCAAGTGTTTATTTAAGCCAACACATTGCTCTGCTAATTGGATAACATTCCATGTGAAAATAGACCTTTTAAAACAACAGCAGCGACGGCAAATAAAAACAGCTGCAACCGCCAAAGTACTGCATGGAAGGCTGGGGAAGGGGGGAAAAATTAAAGGCGCCTTGCACGGGGTACAGGGGGGGCACGGGGCGTGGGGGGGCACGGGGGGGCCATGGGACGCAGGGGGGGTGCGGGGCGCGGGATTCATGCGTGCGTTTCCGGGTGGCCTGTCTGTTCTTTGTGCCCTTCTCACCCGTGTGGCCCTTTCTAGAACCTCCGTAGCCAGCCCTGGCTGGGTCAAGACAGGAGCAAGCAGCTTTAAAGGCAACAATGCCTGGTGGGCCGAGGGCGGGGTGCACCTGCCCAGGTGAGAAGGCCAGACCCGCCATGTGCCCTCCCCCCACGCCTGGAGACCCGGGCAGGCGGGGCGTGGAGAGCTGATTCTCTATTCAGGGGGGAAGCCAGGCTCTTCCCAGCTGTCGGGTTCACCTCCTTCGGGCCTTTGTGCCTCAGTTTCCACAACTGTTCTGGAGCTCCCAGCTGCCTCCTTCCTGAGCTGTTACAGCGGCCTAGAGCCTTGTATGGCTTCCAGCCCCGCCCAGGGCCCCAGCCCGGGCCCCTTCCTCCTCCCTCCCTCCCCAGTGCCCCGTCATCACACCTGGAGACTCAGATAACAGCGCTTCTTAGTGGCACTGACATTTACTGCCTGGGACACTGGGCGCTGATGAAATGTCCTAGGCTGGCAGAATTTGCCAGCTCATCGATCGGCTTCCTGCGACTGCGAGCAGGGTTCCGGTCACCCTGGCCTGTGTCCAGGCCCCACTCCCAGCTTCTCAGTGGGTTACACAGCTGGAGTCCCACGGTGTGTGTGTGTGTGTGTGTGTGTGTGTGGTTTGGGGAAGGAGACGCCACGCAGAGCCCCTCCTGATCTCGGCCATCACCATCACCGGTGGGGGGGGGGGAGCCCGTGGTGAGCCGTGTGTGAGGGGCCTCCCTGCCCCCACTCAGCGCCTCTGGGGTCCTCTGGGAACCTGCCACAGCCTCCATTCTCCAGGTTGGGCTATGAACCCAGGTGGTCTCATGGAGAAAGCACGAGAGCTCAGGGATGACAAGGACAAGCCCAAGCTCGAGGCTGGGGGAGAGGGGGGAGGGGAGGCAGGGGGGATGGAGAGGGGAGGGAGAGGACGGATGAGGGGGGAGGGGAGGGGGAAGGGAGGGTCCCACCCCGCCAGTGACCACTATTTCTGACATTCAGTGTGTGGGGAGGGGCAGCCGGGGCTCTGGGTGGGTGATGGACCGGTTCCGCCCGCTGACTGGGAGGGACCGAGGGAGGAGCGATAGCAGGTTGGGAGAAGCAAAAAGAGCAAGGGAGCTTGGCTTGGCAGAAGCCGCTGGAAGGCTGGGTGGGCACGGGGCGCGCCCTGCACGGGGCTCGCAGAGCGGCTGCGGCCACGGCGAGGTTAATGAGGTGCGGGGCCGGAGAGCCAGTCCACATCGCCGGCGGGGGCCCGCCACGCACGGCACGTGCACCCCGAAGACCCCTGCCCTAGCCAATACCAAGAGCCCAATGGTCCAGCCAGGCAGAGGGGCCCGTGTGCCCAGGGGGGAGCCCACAGCAAGCGTGGGCTCTGCAGCGGCCCTGTGGGGAAGGAGGGCCTCCAGCCGTCGCCCCGAGTCCAGACACCCCCAAGGAACCCCCAGACTCCTTAACCTACCAACCGAGGACGCCTGCACGGTGGGATGGTTTGTACATCAGCTCTGAGACCTGTTCCACCAGGGGGAAACTGAGGCCCACGGCTAATGATGGGAGCCACACAGCAGGTGTGGGGGGGGCTGGCTGTCTTACAGCCTGCATGTCATCCACCAGCCTTGCCACCGCGTTCCAAGGCATGGCGCCCGGCTCAGAGTCTCACAGGGACCGCGGGACACCGCCTGCTCTCTGCAGCTAGCGGCACCCCAGCGGCCTGCGCCGCCTCTCCACGCTCCCCGCGGTGGCCAGACCCCTGGGCCGAGGGTACCCGAGCTGAGGCAGGGAGGACACAGCCACCAGGCGCTCGCCACGGGCCTGGAACTCTCCAGGCACGGGGCAGCAGGTGGCACGTACTCTAGTGTGTACAGAGGACGGACAGACACACACACACATACACACACGCACACTCTAGTGAGGGGCTGGGTTGTGCAAATCAGCATGGCATCAGAGAGCGGAGAGAAGCTGTGGAGGCCCCCTGCTGACCGGCCCCCTCTCCCGAAGGCCCCCCCTCCAGAAGGAGGGCAAGGGAGCGAGCGGCACCTCACCTTGGCATCCTGCTTGGTGAGGAAGTCCACGAAGCCGAACCCTCTGTGGGCGCCGGCCCCCGCCATCTTCTTGGGCAAGCGCACCGTCTTCAGCTCCCCGAAGGTGCTGGGAACAAACGAAAGGCAGACGTGGGGTCAGAACCGAGGCCTGTGGAGGGAGCTGCCCGCGTGTGCTCCGTGGTGGGGGGGTGGGATCTTCCTGTGAGGTGACCAGTCCCCCCCCCTGCTCCTGACTGTACTCTGCCAGGGAGAGGGGCTGCTCACGGGGTCAGTGGGGTGCCCCTCCATCCGGGGCCAGGTGCGGGGGATGCCCCACGCTGGGAGGGCAGGCGCGGAGGCCTGGCGTCTAGCCCCAGGCCGAGGCAGGGCAGGTGCCCTCGAGGCTGCGTGACACAGCGCCTCCCTGTAAGCCCCGAGTCCCCTCTCCAGGGCTTTCCTTTTGATACCTGCTAAGCCACAGCCAGGCAAAGCTCTGGAGAAGAAGATGGCCTGGGGTTTCCTTAGAGGAATCAAACAGGTAAACATGGGCTCAGTCACCCCTGGGCTGCCCCTGTCCTCTCCACTGAGCTAGACCGTGGAGGGATTCTAGCACCAAGGGGCTGGGCTGCATCAGGGTCTCCCGCCCGCGCCGACCACCGCCTAATGTCCATTTATCAAATCCATACGCCCGGGTTGCTACCGATAAATATTTAATGTGCACGGCATCCGAAGAGGGGTATTAGTTTATTTGAAAATCTACACACACTGATGGCCACCCGACACATACAACAACCTCTCTCTCCCTCCTTCCCTCCCCCGCTGGTCTAGGAGGCTCTGGGCCACAGACGGATCAGGTAAGAAACACAGCAAAGGCCTCGAGCTCTTGTGAAATGATATAAGCTAAATCCAAGACGTTAACCCACGGCCCCGCCGCATGACCAGGCATCTGCCAGCCCCATTTCCGGAGGCAGGACGGTGTGTAAATGCAGCATTATGAATCCTCAAAATGAACCTGCACGTCTCCTCCGGCTCTGCAGCCCTGCCTGCGTCCCCCCCCCCCCTTGGTGCGTCCAGCTGATGACAGGGCTGGCCTCCGGGGAAGGGGAAGAGTGGGTGTGGAACCGGCCAGCTCCCCGCTGTGAGGCAGCTCTTGGCTGATTTAGATTTAGAGTGGCCCGGGAGGAGGACCAGACACAGGGCAGGTGGGGTGAGATGGAGGCCGGAGCGAGGCCCACAAACCCTGCTCTATGCTGCCACCTGAAGGCCGACCCGGCCCCTGACACGCAGGGCCTCTGTCCCTGCGCTAATCCCCAGGTCGGGGACACAGCAGGACACAGCAGGGCAGGGGTGCACAGATCTGTTCCTTGCTTGCACAAATGGTTCTTTGACTCCGAGTCACTAGGACGTGAGGTATGGAGGCTGAGAGCTTTCACAGCTGGAGTATGATGGCGCTGATGAAGAGTGTGGGGGCCGGGCAGGTACTTCAACCACGGGCCCTGGCAGCCTCTGGGGCTTAGCTCCCTCCCGCCCCCCCCCCCCCCCCCACCTCCCAAGGCTAGGCTGACATCACCCTGCACCGACCAGAGACGGTTCCCTGGGGTTGGGGGGCCCCATGAGAGAAGAATAGACATAGATCTTTGTGGTTCAGCCAGGAGGAAGTTTTGGCACCAACAGAGGAGGTGGACGTGGTTAGTGATAACTCACCCCTGCCCACAGAGCGGGGGTGAGGCTGACTCGGGACGCGTGGCTATTGTCCGTGGCCCCATTTCCCAGACCGAGAAGCTGTCTGGAGCAGCAACAGTGCCTGCTCGGAAGTGGTGGGATTTGAACGGGATGCAGGCACCAGCCTGCTATGTACACCATGCTTCAACACCCCCCCCCCCGCCTTGAACAGGGACCAGTCATTCCCAGGAGCCGGGCACCACTGGGCCCGGGGTGCAGCGGGAAGCCACCTGTGGGAGCAGCTGAGGGAGCCCCACACATCCGGTGGTCTGCCCAGTGCCACGGGGCCCGCAGGGGGCAGAGCCCAGCTTCCTCCACGGGCTGTGTGCACACCACCCGCTCTGCCCCGGGGGGCGTGGGCTCCGGGTGAGGACACTCTCTGCCCAGCTTTCTTAGCGTGGTGTATCTGTGCGTGCACGTGTGAGAGACGGAGAGGCTGACTGTTGAGGCTCAGTCCTCTCTCTCTGCGGCGTGCTGTAAGCTGGGGCGCTTCGTGCATGGTACGCAGCCAGGGGTCTGGAGATAGGCGAGGGAAATAATTAAAAGGTGGAGAAAGAAGCTGGTGACGAGGTTCCCGTGGCCTGCGGAAGTGGCGTTTGTGGGCTTGGCGGGGGGAGCCACGTTGGAGGACACCGGAGCTGCCACACTGCTCAGGTGGGGGCGGCCATGGCGGCTTTGGGAGAGCACGGCTCCAGCTGAGCGGGCAGTGTGGGATTAGGGTTAGCTCTGAGAAGGAACTTCCCAAAATGCACGGCTGAGACTTCAGGGCACCCCTCCCCCCCGCCCCGCTGGGCCTCTGGGCTCTGCCCCTCTCTGGGCTGTGTGCCCACCCTGGGGACAGCAGTGCTGCGGCCTCCACGTGACAGGGCTCAGGAAGGCGCCTGCCCCGGGACACTGCACGGGGGACCCGTGGCCAGGCCAGGGTGCGTGCCTAACGATCACAGAGAGCCAGCGAGAGAGAATTCAAAAGAAAGAAAATAAGGGGGGGCGGGGGGGGGAAGCGGGGGAGGGAGGTGGGAAAAAAAATCGATGAAGTACCTTTAGCTCCTTGGCGATAAGCGACATATAACTAGCAGCCATTATGAAGGTCCTTTTCTGACTGCCAAGTCCACAGGGCCATTTTTAAGAGCAGCTCCCGAAGGAAGGCCCTCTGCCCGCACCGTCTCGTGGGGGGGGGGCATGGGTGGGGGCAGGGTGGGGGAGGGGAGGCCGGGCAACCAGAGGGCACCTGGGGACTCCTCCCCGGCCCGTGGCGGGGGTGGGGGGGGGGGGGGGCGGCGGCAGGGCTTCCCCGCTGCGAGGATAATAGGAAGCACAAAATAGCAATTACTGTATCCGAAGCTGTGAATAAAGGGGCCAGGCCGGCGCGCTCTCCCCCAACGCGCGCTCACACTTCCCAACAAACTCACACCTCACTTTTCCAATTATTTCATTCACCCCGGGTTCACCAATTACCCTCCCCGCACCCCGCCCCGCGGCCCCGCCCCTCTGCCAGGCCTCCGGCGTGTGATTGGTGGTGGTGGTGGGTGGGGGAGGGACGGGTGTCTGTGTGTGTGTGTGTGTGTGACAAGTGGAGTTTGTTGTCACGTTTCTAATTTCTTCTGCGGCGGTGGTGGTGGTGGCGGTATGTGTAGGGGGCGGCAGGGGCTCCAAGGTGTGGAGGGGGGGCAGTCAATTACGCCTGGCCCCCATAAACAAGTCAGGCTATGCAAAACATGTTTGCACACAGGCCCCGCCATCCCCGGCGGGCGGGGGAGGGGCTCCTCCCTCTGGACAAGCGGGGTCCCTGCTCCGCCCTGGACCCCAAGGATGGGGGGGCGGGGAGCACAGTCTTCCCTGGCCGCACCCCACCCGGGCGACACGTGGGGTGTGGGGCGGGCGGGGCCTCCCTCACCTGCCTCACGGCATTGTTCTGGGAGTCGGTGCCCCCCCAGCCCCCTTCCCCAGGAGAGGACTGGGCGGTTTTAGATGAGAGCACACTGCGGCCAGGACCCGTGGCCAAGTCTCTTGGCATTAGGAAGCCCTGCAACTACACCACAGGCTTCCTAACTGCATGTGGACGTGGCCCGGCTGAGCAACGGCCGGTGCCTGTCGGGCCTGCGTGGGGCTCTGCGTGGGGCCTGAGTGGGGCTCTGCGGCCCGGGGCTCCCACCCGTCACCCTGGCTCCCCACCACTTCCTTCCGGGGCCTCCAGGCGGTGCCTTCCTCCCTCTCCCTCCTCCCTTGCTCCAGAGAACCTGAGCTGGCCTTCCCCTTGCTCCCTCCGCCACCAAAGACAAGTCTGCCCCATGGCCTTTGCACCTGCCCTTCGCATTACACAGAGCCTTCCTTCCCTGGATTTTCTCACAATGCTCAGCTCTCGGCTCCGAGGCTGCCTCTTCCACGGGCCTTGCTTGTCTGGCCTCCTTAGTTAATGCTGCCTCCTGGTCCCACCAGCCCCCCCCCCCCACCATCTGGCTCGCCATCTGAAGGGTGGGTTTGCTTATTTCCCCTACCCTTTGCTACAAACTGTGCTCAGGGCTCCAGTTCAAGCACCCAGGGCTGTGACTGGCACTGGGATCTTCAGTGCTAGTGGAGTCAGGGCTCACCCCCCCCAACCATGCAGGAGGCCAGCAGGAACCCTGGGGTCCCGAAGTGCCTACATTTACTCCTGGGGTGCATAAGTCCCAGCAGGATAGAGGGGGAGGGTTCACGCGCAGGACGCGGTAAGAGCCACAGCCCCCCCCCACGCCAGGGCACGGCGTGGCCATGCGTGGGGGACGGGGGGTTGTGGCGTTCGGGCAGCCCGGGCCCGCCTCGCGCGGGGGAGGCGCTCGGGCATCTGAGGGAGCCGCATAGAGCCGGAGCCTCTTCCTCACCGTCCTCCCCCGCTCTCCACCCATCACCCACCGCTCAGCCTGGACAGTCAACCGGGCACCAGCTGCGCCCCACTCCTTCCATTCTTGCCTCTTTCTGGGGGGCTGAAAATGGCTCTGCTCGCGAGGAGGTGGCAGAGGAGTGGGGGGGGGCCTTGCCAGGCAAGCGTGACCCCTCGTTTTCTAGATGAGGAGTCCTGGGGATGAGTGGTAAATGGCTCTGCGCTGAGTTGGGGTGCATTCCCGGTGGCCACCACAGAATCCGGAGCGGCTCTGGGGGCCTGGCTCGGGGGCCCACCCGCCCACTGGGAGGAGGTGGGAGGGAGAAGAGGGGCGGGAGGAGGAGGGAACATGGTGCGTGTGAGCACAGCTGCGGTGCGCTGGTCACGGGCGGCGGGAGGCCTGACACACGTGTGAACCAGCTCACCTGGCCGCCATCTTGGGTAGACCAGGCCCTCGGGACTTCTGCGATCTGCGAGTGACAGCAGCCCAGCTCGCTGACTCTCCGTGCATCTTTAAATACACGGAAGCAGAGAGGTGCTTTCGGGAT